GCACAAGGTGGGTGGTCAGAGGTCCCTGCTCAATGGATATTATAACAGCATTACAAGAAAAGGCTTAGGAAAGCTCAGAGGTGAAAAGACTATTTCATCATGGAATCACATAAATTATCCTTTTCTTTAAAAACTCACAAGACTATCTGAAAATATGAATAACAGCCCTAGACTGACAGACAATCCAGAAATAGAAAAACACTGTAATTGGCCAATTTTGAATTTCATTTCACTGTGGAATAAAACATTTGAGGGATGACATAATAGCTCATCATATGCCTTAAGTATGTGAGCTAATTATAGGCTTGTTACAAAGACCAAGAGTCATTCACATGCCACTGTCTGGAGACGCACGCATTTTCAGAGCTAACATTCTTTTTTTAAGTACAGTCTGCCAGTAAAGTCCCAAATGACAACTCTGTAATAACATATGGATATGGCCAAAAGTCACATACTTAACTCTGTAGAGTCTGTTCCCTAGTATATGGAGACAAGGTAAAAACAGTCTTAATTCTGATAAAAGAGGCATAACCAGAGAGAGCTCAAATAGTCAATTATTACACTGTCAATTGATTAAAATTTATTCTTCGGTAAAAAGGAAAGCTCAAAGTCAGTTTTCTGCAGACACCTTATTGCTAACCAAGCAGAACTCATTTCCACTGCTCTTTACTATTGTGATCTTCCTGAAAATAAAGTCCACTCTCAGGAGTTCTGGTTTCCATAACTTGAAAGGCTGAGTTATAAAGCAGTACAGCACAGCTTTAGTATTACAGTTCATCCATCCATCACTCATTGTAAAAATCAGTGGTCTAGGAAATTAAATAAACTTGACCAAAAGTGCAGCATAATCTCTTGCCATTAAAAAAAAAGAAATGAACACACATTTTTCAGGGAGAAAATAAACCAAACTAAGTATATCCTGTCTTGCCAGATCAGAGGATGTCACAGAGCTTACACTGTATTCAATTTAATTCATCAGATATGTGTTGGGTGCCACAATGTAAAGGCACTAGAATAAGGGGTGAGAGGACTCAAAGGGTAAAGAAGGCAAGGCCTCCCACCATCAGGGAGTGAGAAAAAGGCAGGCCAAGAACAAGCTCTACCACAGGCAAAAATGCATCATTGTCAAACTGAGGTCCATGTGATGCTACAGGAACCTGAAGGAGTCAGTTCTGACCAAGGAGAAGCCAGAAAGACCTCACGTGGTATGAGTGTCAAGGGATCACGGAGCTTTCCCCAGGGAGTCTTTTGCAGAAGGAAGGAGCATGGAGGAAGGGCACAGAGGCAGGTGCGTGGGCAAGGGCTGTGTGAAGGTAGAGCTGGAGCAGAGGGAAGGAACAGGCACGTAGAGACGAGCATGTGGAGCTGAGAAAAAATTCTGGGTTCACGACAGGAAAGGACCTGAATTACATCTATTCCTACACAATGGAACACTGTCACTGCTTAAAAACTGATCTTAACTGTGCGTTAGGAAAAACTGCAGAGATAAAATGGGTGGTAGATGACCTCCAGGGTGCTCCTACAACGTTCAAGGAGAAATAATGATTTCAGAAAAGACAGAACTCACAGGGCTCCTTGTCGAAGGGGTACACTGAAAATTATATGATTGAGAAATGAGAACAAAAGAATAGAAACGAGATTAGAACTTTTAATAACAATATAGAGACAGGGCAGAGAATGAAAATCCAGTTCCATTAATATAACTCCCAAAATAATGAGACAGGGTAACAGCTAAATTCCTACAGAATGTTCTAAAGAGTTTACTTACTCCTAACAGAATCAGACTTCCAGGCCTGCAGCACATCAAGGAGCTTCCACTTCTGCTACCGGACCAAACTGAAAACATGGCGATGATGCCAATCATTCAATTTTACTACTGGAAAAAAGAAAACTTACACACACACTTAAACCTTTGTTCTTTCCTTTCCCACCGGAATAACCTGCTAAAAAGCTAGACTCAGGTCTTTGCAAGACAGAATTAAACAATAAAAGTCTCAAGTCAAAAAAAAAAACACAAAAAACAAGAAACTTAAGTTCTTCTGCTGTTAAGGAATCAATGACAATTCCCATCAGACCATCAAGCTGAGGAAGAAAACTAGTATTTGTTTTCTGTCTATGTGTCAAGAAGCTTGGGGCCAAGCGCTCCCCATTAAACCTCACCACTGCCCATCACTATCCCCCTCCTCATTTTACAGAGGAGGAAAGTGAGACTCACAGAAGGAAAGCGAGTTGTCTAAAGGAACTTAACCAGCGTCGGTAGAACTGAGACTCAACCCAGATTCCTCTAATTCCCAAATCCATGCTCTTTCCAGTAAGCTCTCCACCTCCAGAATTTGTCCTCAGCAACCTTCCCCCCATCAATAATACCTCCTCTTCTTGTGCTGGTTCTTTTTTCATTCATTTATGTATGTTCACTCTTAAATTAATCACTGAGCACGTACTGGTACTAGACTTGCATGATGACCACTCATTAGTGTATTCAGGTGTTTTCCACTAAGCATGGTGCTCTAGGCATTGCCCTTTTCCTCATTCAAACATGTCAGAATGGATGTTAAAATCACATCATTTCCATTTGCTTACAAGATGCCTTCTGGTAAACAGAAATCCATGATATTCAAGCCACAAAAAGTCAGTGTCTACTACCTTCCAGTAAATATTGAAGATTTTAGCTAGTTGGGGGGGAAAAGCATTTACTTCATAACTATCTGGAAGATAACATCCTAATTAATTAATTTTCGTAGCTGAGAATTCTTGGTAAAATTGTCCACAGCATTAAAAGCAGAATATATGAATTAAGACCATGCTGCCACAACGTTTTTAGTGTAATTTTAATTAAAGCATTATGTAGTTGTGTGCATATATATATTAAGTACTCTATTAATTAAATATTTATGAATCATACAATAGAAAACATCTCTGCACCAACTGGTATAGGGTTTCTCAGTAATATACCACAGTATTGCTAAGATTTCATCTCCAAATGTTAGTCAAAGGGAGGAATAATATTTGATTCTTTCCTAAGAGGTATCTTAACTCATCATGAACTGCAGAGTATTACTGCTCATTCAAGGACCCTGAACAGTACAGTAATTACAGCAATAACCTAAGAAGAGCATTTTAAAAGCATACCACAGATTGTTCAATAAGCCGTATACTAAAGTGAACAAATAATACTGGAGAAAGAGCAGAAGTACAAGTATTCCCTAATTTAAAAATGATATGCCTGTGACATTGCTTTTGGAGCTAGAAGAAGCTGTCTACTACTGTTACTCTCTGCCCTTACAGAATACAGGAAGAGGAGATTGAAAAAAAATGCCATTTCATTTAATAGTTGCTCACCATCCACACCAAAGAGCTTGCCAACCCCACCAAGGGCCCAACTCCAATCCTAGTCAGGTCACCAGCACATCCAAACACACACAGAGGCAACTGGACAGCCCTTCCCCAGCTGCCTACGCAACCACCATCCCCTCCGCCGGTATAACTCATGCTCCCAAATATCTCATAATTACAGTAAATTAGTGTGGATTAAGTCTATCACCAGGTAACTCCCGCAAAGGGCCAATATCAGTGTGTTCTACTCTTTCTAGTCAATAACTGCAGCATTCCACAGAGAATATGCCAAGAAAACAGGGGCATTAAAATTACATGGGATTAGTAATGAAAATTGGAAATAAGGGCATTTGGGTTGAACACAGAAAATAAAAGTTGGCCTTAAAGCAGTGTTTCTCAATCTTGGCTGTACTTTAGAATAACATAGGGATAGTGAAAGAATAAGGATACCTCAGTCCAACCCCTAGAGATTCTGACCTCATCCGTCTGCGGTACAACCCAGGCATCAAGATATTTTCACAGCTCCCCGGGGATTTGAATGCAGGGGCAGGATTTAAGTCACTACCGGGAACTCTGGCCTGATGTCTACCAGCTCTGAAGAGGAAAAGCCTTTCAGAAAGTCACTTAAAAATAAAAACAAATTTTAAAACTGTACATTGCACATCTGATTAAACGTACTTTTCTTTTTTACACAGACCTGTGGGTACAAAACGCCTAGGTGCACGTGGCATTTGCTGTCTATAAGGGAAGTGAGCAGCTAAGTTTGTCATCACTGTGTTCACCGTCACAGATGCCTGTGCACGGACTCAGTGCTTCTTTAAAGAGAAGCTTCGGAAGGCCTGGAAAAGTACAGCTCACTGAGGCCCAGAGCCCTCCGGGCCACCTCCTCTGTCTCCCTCACACCATCAGACATGAGAGAGCTGCGTGACCACACAGAACAGCCACCAGCATGGACTTGGCCTACTTTGGACCAACTCCTGCTTGGAAATTACAGATATGAAGAGACGCTCTGTGGTTCACAGGGGAAAAATGAATCAGATCAGGATAAACACTTCATAAAATACACAGATAGAAATAACTGCAGCGTTATTAAAGGCATAATGATCAACAAAATTAGACATTAAATATGCAAAATGCCATCTTATCTGTATGACCTGGGTTGAAGAATAAGGTCATTCGAACAAAAATATTATTTTAGATAAAGAATGGACAAATTACTCCCTCTTGCAAGAGCACCAGAATCACAACTAACTGCTGAACAATCATCGAAAGGAAGACACTGGAACTCACCAAAAAAGACACCCCACATCCAAAGCCAAAGGAGAAGCCACACTGAGACGGTAGGAGGGGCACAATCACAGTAAAACCAAATCACATAACGGCTGGGTGGGTGACTCACAAACTGGAGAACACTTATACCACAGAAGTCCACCCACTGGAGTGAAGGTTCTGAGCCCCATGTCAGGCCTCCCAACCTGGGGATCCAGCAACGGGAGGAGGAAATCCCAGAGAATCAGACTTTGAAGGCTAGGGGGATTTGATTGCAGGACTTCGACAGGACTGGGGGAAATGGAGACTCCACTCTTAGAGGGTACACACAAAGTAGTGTGCACATAGGGACACAGGGGAAGGAGCAGTGACCCCACAGAAGACTGAACCAGACCTACCTGCTGGTGTGGGAGGGTCTCCTGCAGAGGTGAGGCATGGCTGTGTCTCACCATGAGGATAAGGACACTGGCAGCAGAAGATCTGAGAAGTATTCCTTGGTGTGAGCCCTCCCAGAGTCCACCACTGGCCCCACCAAAGAGCCTGGGTAGGCTCCAGTGTTGGGTCGCCTCAGGCCAAACAACCAACAGGGAGGGAACCCAGCCCCACCCATCACAGACAAGCAGATTAAAGTTTTACTGAGCTCTGCCCACCAAAGAAACAGTCAGCTCTACCCACCACCAGTTGCTCCCATCAGGAAGCCTGCACAAGCCTCTTAGATAGCCTCATCCACCAGAGGGCAGACAGCATAAGTAAGAAGAGCTACAATCCTGCAGCCTGTTGAACAAAAACCACATTCACAGAAAGACAGACAAGACGAAAAGGCAGACAGCTATGTACCAGATGAAGGAACAAGTTAAAACCCCCAAAAAACAACCAAATGAAGTGGAGATAGGCAACCTTCCAGAAAAAGAATTCAGAATAATGTTAGTGAAGATGATCCAGGACCTCGGAAAAAGAATGGAGGCAAAGATTGAGAAGATGCAAGGACGTTTAACAAAGATGTAGAAGAATTAAAGAACAAACAAACAGAGATGAACAGTACAATAACTGAAATGAAAAATATACTAGAAGGAATCAATAGCAGAATAACTGAGGCAGAAGAATGGATAAGTGACCTGGAAGACAGAATGGTGGAATTCACTGCTGTGGAACAGAATAAAGAAAAAAGAATGAAAAGAAATGAAGACAGCCTAAGAGACCTCGGGGACAACATTAAATGCAACAACATTCGCATTATACGGGTCCCATAAGGTGAAGAGAGAGAGAAAGGACCCGAGAAAATATTTGAAGAGACTATAGTTGAAAACTTCCCTAACATGGGAAAGGAAATAACCATCCAAGTCCATGAAGTGCAGAGACTCCCAGACAGGACAAACCCAAGGAGAAACACGCCGAGACACACAGTAATCAAATTGGCAAAAATTAAAGACAAAGAAAAATTACTGAAAGCAGCAAGAGAAAAACAACAAATAACATACAAGGGAACTCCCATAAGGTTAACAGCTGATTTCTCAGCAGAAACTCTACAAGCCAGAAGGGAGTGGCATGACACATTTAAAGTGATGAAAGGGAAGAACCTAAAACAAAGATTACCCTACCCAGCAAGGATCTCATTCAGATTCACTGGAGAAATCAAACGCTTTACAGACAAGCAAAAGCTAAAAGAATTCAGCACCACCAAACCAGCTCTACAACAAATGCTAAAGGAACTTCTCTAAGTGGGAAACACAAGAGAAGAAAAGGACCTACAAAAACAAACCCAAAACAATTAAGAAAATGGTAACAGGAACATACATATCGATAATTACCTTAAATGTGAATGGATTAAATGCTCCAACCAAAAGACACAGCCTTGCTGAATGGATGCAATAACAAGACTCATATATATGCTGTCTACAAGAGACCCATTTCAGACCTAGGGATACATACAGACTGAAAGTGAGGGGATGGAAAAAGATACTCCATGCAAATGGAAATCAAAAGAAAGCTGGAGTAGCAATACTCATAACAGACAAAATAGACTTTAAAATAAAGAATGTTACAAGAGACACGGACGGACACTACATAATGATCAAGGGATCACTCCAAGAAGAAGAAACAACAATTATAAATATATATGCACCCAACATACGGGCACCTCAATACACAAGCTATAAAAGCTATAAAATACAAAAGCTATAAAAGAAGAAATCGACAGTAACACAATAATAGTTGGGGACTTTAACACCTCACTTACACCAATGGACAGATCATCCAAAATGAAAATTAATAAGGAAACATAAGCTTTAAATGACACAACAGACCAGATAGATTTAATTGACATTTATAGGACATTCCACCCCAAAACAGCAGATTACACTTTCTTCTCAAGTGCACACAGAACATTCTCCAGGATAGATCACATCTTGGGTCACAAATCAAGCCTCAGTAAATTTAAGAAAACTGAAATCATATCAAGCATCTTTTCTGTCTACAAGGTTACGAGATTAGAAATCAATTACAGGGGAAAAAACTGTAAAACTCACAAACACATGGAGGCTAAACATTACGTTACTAAATAACTAAGAGATCACTGAAGAAATCAAAGAGGAAATCAAAAAATATCTAGAGACAAATGACAATGAAAACAAAACGATCCAAAACCTATGGGATGCAGCAAAAGCAGTTCTAAGAGGGAACTTTATAGCAATACAATCCTACCTCAAGAAACAACAAACATCTCAAATAAACAATATAACCTTACACCTAAAGGAACTAGAGAAGAACAAACAAAACCCAAAGTCAGTAGAAGGAAAGAAATCATAAAGATCAGAGCAGAAATAAATGAAACAGAAACAAAGAAAACAATAGCAAAGATTAATAAAACTAAAAGCTGGTTCTTTGAGAAGATAAAATTGATAATCCATTAGCCAGACTCATCAAGAAAAAGAGGGAGAGGACTCAAATCAGTAAAATTAGAAATGAAAAAGGAGAAGTTACAGCAGACACCGCAGAAATACAAAGCATCCTAAGAGAGTACTACAAGCAACTCTATGCCAATAAAATGGACAGCCTGCAAGAAATGGACAAATTCTTAGAAAGGTATAACCTTCCAAGACTGAACCAGGAAGACATAGAAAATATGAACAGACCAATCACAAGTAATGAAATTAAATCTGTGATTAAAAATCTTCCAACAAAGGTCCAGTACCAGATGGCTTCACAGATGAATTCTATCAAACATTTAGAAAAGAGCTAACACCTATCCTTCTCAAACTCTTCCAAAAAATTGCAGAGGAAGGAATATTCCCAAACTCATTCTATAAGGCCATCATCACCCTGATGCCAAAACCAGACAAAGATACTACAAAAAAAGAAAATTACAGACCAATTTCACTGATGAATACAGATGCAAAAATCCTCAACAAAATACTAGCAAACAGAATCCAACAACACATTAAAAGGACCATACACCATGATCAAGTAGGATTTATCCAAGGGATGCAAGGATTCCTCAATAAACTCAAATCAATCAATGTGATACACAATATTAACAAATTGAAGAATAAAAACCATATGATCGGGCTTCCCTGGTGGCACAGTGGTTGGGAGTCTGCCTGCTGATGCAGGGGACGTGGGTTTGTGCCCCAGTCTGGGAGGATCCCACATGCCGCGGAGCGGCTGGGCCCATGGGCCACGGCTGCTGAGCCTATGCGTCTGGAGCCTGTGCTCCACAACGGCAGAGGCCACAACAGTGAGAGGCCCGCGTACCGCAAAAAAAACCCCAAAAGAAAACAATATGATCATCTCAATAGACGCAGAAAAAGCTTTTGACAAAATTCAACACCCATTTATGATAAAAACTCTCCAGAAAGTGGGTACAGAGGGAACCTACCTCAACATAATAAAGGCCATATACGACAAGCCCAGAGCTAACATCATTCTCAATGATGAATAACTGAAAGCGTTTCCTCTAAGATCAGGACCAAGACAAGGATGTCCACTCTCACCACTATTATTCAACATAGTTGTGGAAGTCCTAGCCATGGCAATCAGAGAAGAAAAAGAAATAAAAGGAATACAAATTGGAAAAGAAGATGTAAAACTGTCACTGTTTGCAGATCACATGATACTATACATACAGAATCCTAAAGATGCCACCAGAAAACTACTAGAGCTAATGGTAAAGTTGCAGGATACAAAATTAATGCACCAAAATCTCTTGCATTCCTGTACACTAATGATGAAAAATCTGAAAGAGAAATTAAGGAAACCCTCCCATTTACCATTGCAACAAAAAGAATAAAATACCTAGGAATAAACCTACCTAGGGAGACAAAAGACCTGTATGCAGAAAACTGTGAGACACTGATGAAAGAAATTAAAGATGATACAAACAGATGGAGAGATATACCATGTTCTTGGATTGGAAAAATCACTATTGTGAAAATGCCTATACTACCCAAAGCAATCTACATATTCAATGCAATCCCTATCAAATTACCAATGGCATTTTTTACAGAACTAGAACAAAAATCTTAAAATTTGTATGAAAACACAAAAGACCCCAAATAGCCAAAGTGGACTGGAGGGAAAAAAATGGAGCTGGAGGAATCAGACTCCCTGACTTCAGACTACGACAAAGCTACAGTAATCAAGACAATATGGTACTGGCTCAAAAACAGAAATACAGATCAATGGAACAGGATATTAAGCCCAGAGATAAACCCACACACCTATGGTCAACTAATGTATGACAAAGGAGGCAAGGATATACAATGGAGAAAAGACAGTCTCTTCAATAAGTGGTGCTGGGAAAACTGGACAGCTACATGTAAAAGAATGAAATTAGAACACTCACTAACACCATACACAAAAATAAACTCAAAATGGATTAGACACCTAAATGTAAGACCAGACACTATAAAACTCTTAGAGGAAAACACAGGAAGAACATTCTTTGACATAAATCACAGCAAGATCTTTTTTGATCCACCTCCTAGAGTAATGGAAGTAAAAACAAAAATAAACAAATGGGACCTAATGAAACTTAAAAGCTTTTGCACAGCAAAGGAAACCATAAACAAGACCAAAGACAACCCTCAGAATGGGAGAAAATATTTGCAAACGAATCAACGGACAAAGGATTAATCTCTAAAATACATAAACAGCTTATGCAGCTCAATATTAAAAAAACAAACAACCCAATCCAAAAATGGGCAGAAGACCTAAATAGACATTTCTCCAAAGAAGACATACAGATTGCCAAGAGGAACATGAAAAGCTGCTCAACATCACTAATTATTAGAGAAATGAAAATCAAAACTACAATGAGGTATCACCTCACACCAGTTAGAACGGGCATCATCAGAAAATCTACAAACAACAAATGCTGGAGAGGGTGTGGAGAAAAGGGAACCCTCTTGCACTGTTAGTGGGAATGTAAATTGATACAGCCACTATGGAGAACAGTATGGAGGTTCCTTAAAAAACTAAAAATAGAATTATCATATGACCCAGCAATCCCACTACTGCACATATACCCAGAGAAAACCATAATTCAAAAAGGCACCTGCACCCCAATGTTCATTGCAGCACTATTTACAATAGCCAGGACATGGAAGCAACCTAAATGCCCATCGACAGACGAATGGATAAAGAAGATGTGGTACATATATACAGTGGAATATTATTCAGCCATAAAAAGGAACGAAATTGGGTCATTTTTAGAGACGTGTATGGACCTAGAGACTGTCTTACAGAGTGAAGTATGTCAGAAAAACAAATATCGTACATTAACGCATATATGTGGAACCTAGAAAAATGGTACCGGCTTGCAGGGTAGAAATGAACCGGTTTGCAGGGTAGAAATTGAGACAAGATGTAGAGAACAAATGTATGGACACCAAGGGAGGAAAGCAGCGGGGGTGTGGTGGTGGGATGAATTGGGAGACTGGGTTTGACATGTATACACTAATATGTATAAAATGGATAACTAATAAGAACCTGCTGTATAAAAAAATAAAGAGAATAAAATTCAAAAATTCAACAACAACAACAACAAAAAAACAAAGAAAATATCTCTAAAAAAAAAAAAAAAAGAATGGACAAATTATACTAAATTCCAGGGGAAGTTCTAGATATAATCTGTTACTAGAACAACAAGGGAGAGAGGAAAGACGCTTAAATTCTGCATATTCTGTTTTATTAATAAGTTAGAAAAACTCCAAATACAATTAGAAGTATGTAGAAGGATCAGACGCATTACTTAAAGTTTTACCAGTTTCTTTTTCATCAAGTGGTTACTTTTCAAATTGATACAAAATGTTAACATTTTATCTGTATTACATTTTACACAGAAAATCCCACCTTACCTGGAAAATTATTTCTGCTACAAATATTTACAAGCCTAATCAGAGTCAATAATTTAAAAATCAAGCCAAGGAACGTCTTTGAAAATCGACTGTGTGTAAGATGGTATTGAGTGAAGCACCAAGGGAGGACACAAAGGCAACTTAGTCTTTGTTCTTTGTGTGACATTAATTAAAAAAGTAATGAGGAATGTTTAGAGCTGGGCGTTGAAAGCATAAGAACTAGCTTGCTCTGGCAGCAATCTTTTTCTTGTTTACGTCAAAGCACAAAACTTGGTAGACGTGGTCTGAATGAATTAAAAACACACAGGCAATATTTCTCTCTGACTCTGAGAGAAATGGGAGCAACCGAAAACAAGAAAAATTATCACACGCTTACCATGAAATAACTGACGATGTGATAGGACAGATCTGCTGGTGGCTGAGAGCAGCTCCCAGCCCCGTTGTCCCCTTTACAGCGCACACCCCAGCCAGGCACTCGCCCATGGATTTAATTTTCACAGTAACTCTAAGAAAGGCTTACAAGAAATTTAATTTTTAAAAATCACAGAAATGAGGTCTCTAAAACAGGAGATTCAACTGAAAAGACCACAGTTTAGGTGCAGTATGAGAAATATGTAATGATGCCCTTCCTCCTGAATGAGGGCTGTACCTGCATATTCCATTTAGGAATTCATTCAAGTTCATTTGATAACCAGGTTACCTGGTTCGGCCCTCAGAATCACCCAGAATACAATGTAAGTACCTGTGTTTATAGTTGTACATGTGTGACAGACTTTATTTATGACTCAGTGTTTTTTGTCTTGTGGCCTGCACCATGCTGGCATTCATTGTTGGCAATATATTTCCTTTTAGGTATGTTACATTATATTCTTTTTGAAGGATTGGCAAAATATTATCAGAATTTAAGATTTTCTACTAGTTTTTAGAATACAGTATATTGCTTCTCCTATGCAATATTTTCCCCTACAATATATCTCCAAAATTACTTGAAATAGATATAAGACATATTCCCCTGCAAAAATGGGAGCTGTCTTATACAACTGTACATATATACAGAAAACATGGCATATATTCAGGATTGCACGTAGGATGCTTATGAGGAAGAGATGAGGGAAGCAGGATGGAGGGAGGAGGAGAGGAGAGAGGGGTAAGGAGGGAAGAGAGAAGTTCTCCTAGAACAAGAACGTACAATACTCACTCCTTGTATTCCTATTATGCTTACATACATATTTCAGTGAATGGTATGGAACAGTATCAAACACGGTTGTTAGAGTCATGTTCATGTTACTATTTTATATTTTTATTCATTTTCTCTAAGTTCTACTACCTGCCCCAGCTCAATCAGGCTCTAAATGAACATTTTCTCAGTACTTCGGTGACTGAGGGTATCAGCTGGTATTAAGGAATCTTTCAGAGTCTTGCCAACAAATCCCTTGATGTGTGACATTCGGATGGTTTGACCCCTTTTCTGGAGAGGTCTCACTATGCTCCCTGAACATATATTTCACGTTTATGTGTTTAATTCAGTGGTTTCAGTGGTTCTCAAACTTCAGTTTTCAGCAGAATCACTGGGGGGCTAGTTAAGCCACAGATGCTGGCTCTCTCGCCAAGGTTTCTGATTCGGGTCGGGGTGAGGTCTGTAAATCTGTCACATCTCCACCTGATGCTGACACAGCTGGTCTGGGGACCACAGTTTGAGAAATACCTGTTTAAGAAAACACCTTCAAGTACTAGAAAGGCATGGTGCAAGGATCCTACGGGAACCCCACTCCATTTACCATCCATTTAACCTCAGGCAAGTTAGCCAACTTGCTTTCCTCATTCCTTTATCTATATACAACCAAAGCAAGAGGTAGGGAAAGAGGTAGGGAGGATTCAGACCAGAGCTGAAACAGCAGGGAAAGAAATGTGAGAATGAGACTCCAAAGGCAGTTTGAAAAAAGAAACAACACAACCAGAAGTCATTAGGAAGCAGGGGCGCTGGGTGGGCCGGGAGAGCTTTAAAGGGAAGGAACTCCTTGCAGAGCTGCCAGGAACGACTCAGAGAAACACAAATCAAGGGGCAGCGACTCCCTCCTTCAGAAGAGACGGCGGCTCCTTTTGGGGCCCAGGGGCCGTCTCTCCCTCTCTCCGTGTGTGCTCTGTAATTCTTCTAGGTTTAGGGCCCCAAGCCACCTGGGATTCCTTTGTTATCTTCCTTTTGTATCTTCCCCTTTCCTCTCTCTGCCAATTCCTTCCCACCAAAGTACCAGTGGGCTAACGTCTTTTCCATCCTAAAGAGAAAACTTTCCCTCCACCTTGCACGCCCCGCCCCCAACTGCCAACCTATCACTTCTCCTTCCTTCACAGACCAACGCCCCACCAGGGATTCCCCAGCCCCGTGGCTCCTTACCCGGGTCTTCAGATGCCACCTGGGAGCTCATCAGAAATGCACAATCTCCAGCCTACTCCCATTTACCCTCATCATCTGATCTCCTGGCTTTGATAATGGAATTGATACTATTCCATCAATTTTCCCACTCCGAACTGTAGCCCACAGCTACCTACCTGGATTCTCTTCACTGCACACTGAACTTATCCAAAAAAATTCATTTTAGGATGTTTAGGATCCAAGTATTGAATCCAAAATCCTCAAGGTACTTTCATATTTCTAACAGAATCTTGAAATTTGAAAACCAACAGCAGGGCATTCAAAAAACACAAATAAAACCTGAAAAAAATTAAATATAATCCTAAATGAAAGGACTAGATGAAAATTTGCTACAGGTTAAACTATTCCAAAAATATCACAATGAGTAAAGACCTAGGAATACACAAGTACTTTGAGCAGTTTTAGCTTTTGTTCCACAGAGGGGCCCTCAACATTGTCACTCTTTGTTTATTCTGTTCTGATTACATGACTATGTGCCTGCACAGCTCCCTCAGAGGAAGAGCCCTGATACTCACCCTACCTGAGTCGGTTCCCTTTCCTAGGATGCTGGACCTCCCTCTCTGATTCTCCTTCCATCATTACAGTGGTTTGGTAGATCTCCAGAAACGACAGATCAGCAAGGCCACTTTGTTCGAGGTATTAAATAATACCCACATAAACCTTTTCTAAACATATTCATTCAAAAATGTCACCAAGGAGCCCTTCCATGCCAGGTATTGTGCTAACCTAGGAGTACAGTGGTAATGAGAAAAGACACACTCCCTGAAAGCATGGAGTGTAGGCCCTACGGGGAAGACAGGCTGATTAAACCATTGTAATTTAGCTCAAAAATGCCGTGAACAGTACAGAATATCATGGGGACCCCTAGCAGGGGAATCTGATCTAGTCTAGGGAGGTAGTCAAGGAAGGCAAAAGAGATTTTAAAACTACGTCAGCAGAAAAGAATACTGTAGTGCACAACTAGACCAAAAGGAGAGGGAGAACACATCCTCCAAAGAGAAATCACGTGTGTACAAGCCTGGAGCTGAGAGAGAACAAGGTGGATTCAAGTAAGTGGAAGAAATTTCGCATGTCGCCGAGCAGAACGTGGAGGACACAGTGGTGAGAGGCTGGGCTGGAGAGGGAAGCAAGTACCACACTGTGGAGAGGCTTGGAGCCCGTTTTATGGGTTGAGGACTTCATCCTAAAGTAAGTGAGAGGACCTGAGACCAGGCTGCAATATGCACTTGAACACAGCAAGGCTACAACCACAGACATGGAGTCCAGTTGGGATTTTTCAGACAAGACCAAGACAGTGGTACTGGGAATGCAGAGAAGTGGAGGGAATCCAGAGATGCACCCCAACTAGGGCATCACCTGGACATGCCAGATACCTACCTGAAACCCAGCTTAGGCTGCATCACACAGTGACATTCGGAGCCTGGTACAGGAAGAGCATGGGAGGACGGATGGCCTCCACCTGCAACACTCCGCATGTGAGACGCCAGGCTGCCCTGCCCAGGCCCAGCCTCTGCGGCTCCCTCAGGCCTCGTCCATGTGCCAGGACTTGTTCGGCCCTCCTGATTCCCTATCTCCACCATTCCCACCAGAGCCAGCGCCTGTGATGATAAGGAACGTGTTCACATTTCTAAATTATCGCTGTTACTGTTAAAGCCATTTGATACTGAGCTTTTTCAGCCTTAACTTTAATTTCTTTGCATGTTGACAGTGGTCTCTAATATCAAAAGTTTAATTCAGTTTTTATATATAATGAGTAAAGCATTTCTAACGTACAATTATAAATTTACTTTAAATTATTGTACAGACTTTCATTAGAATCCATACTAAATTAAGGGCGTATTCTCTGATGTTTATGTACATTATGCATGTGTGCTTTAAATCAACTGCAATTTTAGGCAAATTCCCATTATTATTATATTTGACAATTTATATTATAGGAGCTCTTGTGAAGAAGGAAATGCTATGCATTCATAGTCTATGCTCTTTCAGCATCTGTAAAACAGAGAAGGCCCCAACATATAAATGCTGAGCTCCACAGCTGTGTCTGCAAGTCTGTTATTTGTGGTGTCTCCCCATTATGTGGTCTGGAACAGGGTGAGAAGGAAGGGAGAGGACAGAGGCTGAGTAGGCGGGGCCAGAAGAATGGCAGCTGGGAGCCAAGACAAGCTCCGAGCAGGGTGGCGGCGATATCCAGCCCCTGCTCTGATACCTCAGCAGCACCAGTCGGCTGAGAGCCTTTGCCTGAACGCAAACGTACAGGAAATGAGAAGTGGGGTCTGGGGTAGGCAGTGCTGCAGTAATGGGAACAGCAGGGGAGGCTGGACAAACTTGAACAATGTCAGCAAGAAGGACGGGGAAGCTTCCACAGCCATCTGGTTGTGCTGGTTGCTCCCCAGGACCCCACACTGACAAGAGCTGAGTTCAACCTAAACTGACGGTGCTGCCCTGCCCACCACGCTCCCCAGCCCCAAGCCCGTGACACCTGAGCCCCAGATTCAATGAGTATTTACTAAATAAACAGACAAATCGATGCGTTCATTTCGTTTGATTTTCTTGTACTTTTTTACTTTAGCTAGTTGCTCATCCAGTAACCTATGTATCATTTATGAAGATACTGAGTGCCTATGTTGTAGGGGAAAAAGCATATGCCTGACAGGACATCCATCTCTGTCCCTCCTGTAAATGCCAAAGCACTGTGCAAGTCTCACAGCAACCGTCCAGATCCCACCAGCACATTCATACACACACTCAAAGCTTAGATCTAAATCTGCTCACTGAAATCCTAGGCCAGTCTTCCCACTAACAAGGCCCTGTGCCTGTCGTCACATCCCTTTCAAGCCCTGGTCAACATTTAAGAACAACCACTAATGTCTTCCTGGCCATTCTCTATGTTCTGTGTCTCCCTCAACTACCTACTCAGACCCCACCTAAATGCTCGCAACATTATAAGGCCATCATTTAACAGGAAGCTGTTCTAGATAAAAGAACACTTCTCTCTCTCTCTCTCTCTCTCTCTCTCTTTCTCATTTTCTCCTCTATAAATCAAGAAGATTCTTGGGGAAAAAAAGCTCTCTAATTTATTCATTATCCCCACCACTTCCCCACTCTTTAAGTTAGGATGTGTTCAGTTACAAGGAAGAGAATTATGTGGATAACAGTGGCTTAAACCATTATTTATCTTTTAAAACAAAATTCCTAATAAAGTAATCCTAGAGTTGCTTTGGCTGGTCAGATGACAAGAAGGACCAAGGCTCCTCTCACCCTCCTGCTTATCATCCTTACCATGTTGACATTAATTTTTCAATATTGCCACATGGTTGTAAAACGGCTACCGCAGTTCCAGGCATCACATCTTCATGTGGCAGTGCCCATACAGGAAGCAAGTGGTTGAGGTAAAAACATTTTAAAATTGCTACCTTTCACAAGCCTCAATCTCTTTATACAATGAGGTGAATCTTTACCAAAAGCTCTAAAGATTCCTCTTTAGCTTCCACTGCCCAACCACAGAACAATACTGGCAAAACAAGTCTAAGCCTTTCATAGATTAACCCACCAGGCATGGGCACATGTCTGTCAAAACAAAATTGGAGTGTTCTAGTAAAGAAGAAGGAAGCTGGCTATTGAGTAGACAGCTAACCTGTCTGTCACACATCACCCAGAAGATTTTAAGAAGTGTGACACCGGATGTCTGGGCTTCTTCCATCCATCTTCCCTCCCTCCCTCCTTCCCTCCCTTCCTTCCTCTAATAAGAAGCATTTAGGTAAAATTAAAATGTGGCATAATTCCAAGAGCAAGTTCTATTTATCCCTTCTCTATATAGTCTAGCCCCCTAATAAATACAATAAAGAATATTTCCCTTTAAGAAATTACAGAAAAATAAATCAGAATAAAGAAATAGCTGAGTTCCTGAAATGCTGTATAAACCATATCATACTTCCTTATTTGTTTACTTTGCCATTTCAGCTCTGCTTTATCTAATTCTGGGTTGTTCGGTTGCTTCAATGGATAGCTAATGCTGTAGATTAAGTTCCCCAGCCTCTCAATCTGTCAGGAAGGATTCCATTCACCATTTTTTGAGGGCCTGTGGTCTCTGAACACTGGAGAACATGCATGTGTAAAGAAACACATAATATAAATACACAAAATATAAATACGACTATAAAATAGTTTGATTTTCAGCGATGGCGTTTTCTTAGAGCAAGGCGTGTCAGTCTTTCAAGTCATACATCTTTAAAAACCAACTGTGTTCCTCCTTTATTTTCCTATCAATCTAATAGCCCCCCTTTCTTAGGTTTTTTTCCTTTCCCCTTTAATACTGACTCTATTTATCTGAATCTATCCATTTATTCCTCATTTTTCAAGTTTAAGCTAACAGATGGAGAGTCAGACTACTTCCAAACATCTGCACTGAAATGCTTTACCTGCAACTCTCGCTGTGAGTAAAAGAGATTTTAATTACATGATATTTGAAAATTCCTCTCACAGGCACTGCAACTGAAAGATTTCAGTGTAAAAACAAGTCATCCTGGAGGCTCTCACCGTTAGGTCCACTCACGTCCCAAACAAATCACACACCCCACACCGTATTGGTGATGTAAACAGACCCTTGATGGTAAACAACAGCTCTGATACCATGGATGCTTACGATATTCACAGTTCAATATTACTGGGAATTTTTACATGTGTGCCATTATATCAGTCATATGACTGCACAAAAAAAGTTAAAAATAATTATGTTTGCCATTCACAGATATTCTCAAAGAGGCCATTGCCTAGAAAGACGAGAGAGACTAAAATGTGGCTATAAATCATGTAACACTGTTTCTGCTCACACAGTGATGAGATTTAGTAACACCACGGGTATCGGGTTAGCAGGGTTTGCCTGAACCTAGAAAGTACCCTACTATCACCCATGGCAGGCACCAGTCCACTACACCTGCACATCCTAGTATGACAGTTACAGTCTTCCCAACGGCTCCTTTCCCTCTGCCCACCCTGCAGTGTTGGAACCTGCAGCCTCCCTGTCAAAGCTGCACCCTCCCTGTAGCCTCATCCACAGTGATAACTTCACTATCACTTAAATACCAAGAAATCCTTACTGTCAGTCTATATTTCCAGTCTGCTCATCCCCTTTGATATTTAGGACCATGCTTCTACCTTCCTTCTAGGTAATGCCTATATACTCAGGGATATGTTCAGAACACTCTCAGACAGACCTGGACTCAACCTGTTATCCTATACGCTTTGTTCTGTGTTCACTATCTGGAGTCAAAGCATTGCAATCAATGTAATGAACAAGAACTAGAAACCTCAATTATCCTACACGCCTCCAGCTCCCTTAAAACCCCCTCCTAACTCATTCACAAACTTCTGAAGTTTCTACTCTGAAACTGTGCTTTTTGGTTCTCCCTATCACAGATCTAGTTCAACGCATCACTCTTCCTGTGGGATTGGTAAACCCTTTTAGAAGCTGCCTCCTTGCCTCCAACCACTGCCACAGCCAAAGCATCCTCTACGCTCCACTTCGTTTGACAGATATGGATTCAGCACCTTCTGTGAGGCAGGCTTTGGGGTGGGTCTTGAGTAGAGAGTGGTGAGCAAATCAAAGACCCTCTCCTCAGCAAACCCAGACTCAAGTCAAAGAGATCAAGCAGCAACCAAGTAAGCAAACAGATACATAACCCATAGCGGGGTGTTTGGGTAAAAAATAACTGTGAGTAGTGCTATACCTGTAGTGATCACTGAGCAGGGGTCACTTAGAATAAGAACTCTGGGAAGGGAAGAGGCAGCCACACATCAGAGAGACGAGCACAGCAAAGCTCCGAGGCGAGAAGAGCCTGCACAGGCTGGAAGGAAGCCCAGGGACACTGGAGCTGTGTGCAGAGCGGGAGGGTATATGCGTGCAGGGGAGCAGAAGTGAAATCACCGTGGCGTCAGGAGCCACAGCCACAAGGGGGATCTAGTGCGAGGCACAACGGGAAGTCAGGGAAAGGTTTTAGGCAAAGGAGTAACACGATCTGATCTACATTTTCAAATAATCAGCAGAATTACGTTTCATAATCACAATGGGAGGGTCAGTCCTCTGAGTCAAAAAGGTGAACGGCTCCTGACGAAGGAGGTGTCCATGTGCTCTGGTTTGTCCTAGAGGGTCCTGGTCTTCCCTGCTGTCCTCGTGTCATTATTACAGTCCCCCTTTCACGCTCTCTCACGGGTTCTATGGAGATCACACGTTGTTTGGCCAACTCACTGATAAGGAACATTCCTCAGGCTGACATCCAAAGCCCTTCTGAGCCTGGTCCCGACTCACCTCTCTGCCTCTCCCTGTCAGATCTCTACCATACGGTGTTCTGGGCTCTGGGATGTCCCGCTGGCCATGGTGAATGGGGCATATATTCTCCCTGCTGCCCAGCTCACGCTCCTGCCTCTTGCTGCAGGCTCTGACCGCCTCACTATTATGGACAGACCCGCGAGGGCCAAACCTGAGAAGCCTTTCCAGAAGCCAGGCAGAATGAATGGCTTCCTGCTCTGCTCTGCACTTTGTCACTGACTCTATGATAATGTTCATCACAACTGGGCTATT